CCCATGTTCCCAATCAGAGTGCCAACCACGTGAGTGCGCACAGCGCTGAGACCCTGAGCCCGCAGCACGCGTTTCTTAACAGCCAGGAGAAGCGGTTCCAGTTCTCCGACTTACGGTAAGATCCTGATGAAGTTCCCAGAAGGCAATATAAACCTAAAACTCTCTGCGGAGAAGTGGTCCCCGTTCCCTTGATTGCACACATTTCAGCAAATTAGAGCCAGCAGCACGGACTCAGCTCTTACCCTCGGACAGAGGGGGAACTTGCAGAGTCGCCCGCGGCCCTCCCACACACCCGGTCCGAACAGCTTGCGGGCCCGCAGGAGCCCAGTGCAGGGCTTGCTGCACAAGTGCAGGATCCCAGGACTGTCCGGTACTCCTTCCAAATGGCTAATGTGCTTGATGGCAACCCATGGCAAACTGTGTAGACCCCGAGCCTTCCACAGTGAGGCCTTGAATCAGGGGAAAAGAAGGCTTAGTCGGCGTCAGGAGGTCGGTTCAATCTCGTGGTGAGTAAAAACGCCTTTCCGCCCAAAGAGGAGGCCGCGGCTCTTTTCACATCCCCATGAAGACACGATACAGTGGAGACCCAGAGATTTGCCAGGCAAATCACGCTACTCTGGGGGCGGGGCGGGGGACAGCGGAACTCCAGAATGAATTAAGTATGTTCCTCACTCCAGCCTTCCCTTTTCTTTCTTTTCTTTCCATGTTTTTTAAAATCTGCAGAGGTAAGGAATTTCTCAGGTGTAAAACAAATGAGTGCTTTCTGTCTGATAGGGTAGAAGACGGGCAGGACAGCAAGGGGCAGGAGACTAAAGCAACGGACCCACCCCTTCCCCAGCATCAGTGAACCATCGTCACCAAGTGCTAACTGGCCAAGCCCCTGAACCTCAACGACACACACATCTGCTCTGGCACATTTTCAGAAGGCGCTTTCCTGTCTTGGCAGTCACGGGGAAAAGGTCAAAATTAACTAAGAAAATGACCCCTCTGAACCCTCTCCTGCAAACTGTCAATGTGCAAATGTTTCCTGCCTACCATTCTGCATTTTTTAGTTGTTACCAATTCACCAACTCGCAGCTCCTGCACCCCCACCATGTCGAATTGTTCTCTGGACAGGGTTCCTGCCACAAGCAGATGTGCAAATATTCCAGAACCGGGGGGGGGGGGGGGGGGGGGGGGTGTTATTCACCTTGACTTTCATAGCCCAGGTATTTGAGATAATGCAAAAGATTAGGGCAGAGCCCAAGTGTGGCATGAAGTGTCGAAAAAAGGCGACCTAGAAAGCGTAGGATTTGGTCTGAAGGGAGAAAAAAACAATTCAGATAGGCTGGGAGAACATGGAAAAGAACTCTGGACAAACAGTTCTGTGCTCAGAGATCTTAAGGATTCTGAACTTGACCTTCCCAACTGATGGTCATTGGCATTCAAGGGCATAAAAATAACAAATTTATGAAAAACAAGTTCCTGTCAGATAGCGATCCACTAAGAGGAACTTAGAAGCCCAACCACGCGTTCCTGGTAGGAAATCTGGAAAGTGGAGACCCTCGGGAAGGAGGAAAGGGGTCTGGCAATTTCCCCCCAAGAAAAGCACAGAGACACCCATTCTGAACAGGCATGGGCGCCAACAGTCCTCCACCACAGCCTTCAGCTCAAAATCTGGGACTCCAGACAAATTTCTCAACTCCCTTCTGAGCCTCAGTTTCATTTTGAGAATGGGGATAATGATATGTAAATCACCAGACTGAGCAATGCATGTAAATTGTCTAATTCAATAGTTGTTCAAGGAATAGTAACTGCTGTCATCACATAAAAAGGAAGCATGAAAAATTGCCCAGTTGGAGGGGTGGCAAATGGCAATGCCTTGGGGTAGAGTTTAGAGTCTTATCTGTCTCTCATTTCCAAGTGCTGTATTTTAATCCTGGCAGATCACTGGGGGGAAGTAAGGAAGCGATGTGGCAGGTGCCAGTGGCTCAGTTCCACATAGCAGGACAGCCTCTGCAGTGCTGCTTTCTGGATAGCACATTGCACCTTCAGAACTGAGAGGTGTCACTTCTTTGGCCCAAGAGCATGAGAAGAGTCATTCATTGATTATCCACTTGGGGCTAATCCATCTTACACCCTGCTTACAGAGTTTGACATTTTAGACTGGCCAAGAACTTGCTCAAAATACTGCTAATGAATGTCTTTGCACCCGGCACTCCAATAGACCCTTTCAGGATCTCTGCGCCCAGAGCAGAAGGAAAAGCTCCAGTCTGTCATACACTAGATGCTTCAGGTGTGCAATTGCAATAAATCCTCATGGGTCTACAAGAAAGACTTTACAGAGAAGGAAGAAATCAGTTAAGATGTATGCATTCCTTCCGGTTTTTTCACGCACTCATTCCTTCATTCACTCGGTGTTTTCTACGTCTGAGCACCTGCTGGGTATAAAGCACACAGCACAGGAAGTCATTGCCCTCCAGGGGTTTAGTTTGAAGGGGAGAAAGATAAACACCTGTCACAAGGCAACCCAAAGATGTGTGTCACCCAGAGGATACGAGTGCCAGGAGGGTGGCAGTAATTCTGACTAGCCATCAGTCAGAATGCCAATGACCATCAGTTGGGAGGTCTTGGAAGTCTTCTCCAAGGGTGCTCCATCAGCTGGGCTCGGATTTGGAGAAAATAAGCAGGGACAGTGTCAGGAGCCCAACGTGCACGGAGTTCCACATGCCGGAGACCCTGGCAGAAGAACGCCTGCCACATCTGGGCATGGGGAGCTGTCTGCTGCAAAAATGGGCAGGTAACGTGGGGTAGCCAGGGGCCAGTGGAGGACAGAGGTGGGTGGGCACTGAATTGTGAAGAGTTGTGAATGCCAAACACAGGAGTTACCTTTGCTGGTTACATTTAACAATACAGTGTGTGCACTAAGAAACACTGGGGGTGGGGCAGGATCCTAGCTTTATCATCTTTCTCTGACTTTTACCCTTTCTCCTTTCCTTAACAGGACACTAGAAATTAAGTGTGTAGATCTGAAGGAAGCCCAAAGAGCTTTGGGGGGACAGGAAGACATGGGATGCAAAGCCATTAGCTTGAGTCACACAGCCTTCAGCGAGGTCACCTCGCCACTCCAGTTCAGCCGTAGCAACTGGTTTTTCTGTCATTCGTTTTCACTCACCCCTTTAATCCCAGTCAGTTTTGAAGGCTATCTATGTTTCCTTCCTGTAACGTACAGGGTAACCTGACTTTCCATTTACGAGTTTGGTTCACTCTGGTGCCATCTTGTCTTTGGGGCCCAACTGAACTGCTGACATCAGATTTTCTCCAACTATCACCTCTACCTCCAACACAGGGAGAGAAAGAGAGAGAGAGAGAGAGAAAGAGAGAGAGAGGAGGGGGGAGAGGGAGAGAGTAAGCCAGTAGGTTCCCACCGGAAATCATGTCCTGAATTCAGCACCTGTCCCCTCGATTCCGCAATCCCCATGCCCTCACGCCATTTCCCCCAACCCACTCTCTCACTTCAGATGCTTCGTCTCCCCTGGAGAAGCTTGTGGAGAATGCCTGTTGCCCCTACAAGCTGGGGGTACAGGGTTCAGAGGTCTGTGCCCTACCATCTTACCATGAGCCCTGGGTACTCCCGTGTTCCCACCGAGGTGGCTTTGTTGAAGGTTCATTTGGCTCTCAAAATGTATTCCACAATCCTCATATGCTTGCTTGTTAAGAAACTGGGGTGAACACTTGGGTAGAACAGTAACAATCACAGGGAAAGGGACAAGGGAGAAACGGAGGCCCCTTAGGCAAGTGAGTGGAGTTACAGCAGGGACACTTGGACCCTCTCACAGTCGCCCGCTCATCCATCACAGCTCCTTGGAGACCATTAACTTGCTAACCATTATCCAACCGCCTTTACCACACACTGTCCCACCGGAGGAGGGTAATGCCAAATGGAATGCAAGGTATTTGTGCTGCTCTTACAGGTAAAAGGACAAATAGGCCCGCTATTAGGGCGAGGCTGTATCACCAAATCGAGTCCAGCCTAGCGCTCGTGTAGCAAGGGGTGGGGTGATTCACTACGGGAGGTGGGGCAGGGGCAGTTAGGAAAAAGGGAAATCTTGTGGAGTCCCAGTGGGAGCGGTAATCGGATTCTGAATCCTGGCCATAATGTACACTGGCCGTAAGGAACTCTCGGCGCCCCGTGGCCGCGGCTCCCGGCTCAACCTCTAACCGCCCTCTCCTCCCAACCGGCGCTTCGCCGCACGCCTCCGCGCTCAGTCCTCAGCTCCGGCACTCTCCCTGGGTGAAGGCATCAGCTTCGCCCCACCACCCACCCGCCGGCAGACAGGGACCTCTGGCTCTGGGATGACTAAACAGCCACCCCTCCAGGGCGGCGGGCTGTTGCCCATCTCCCCCACCACCACCCATCCTTACTGTGCCATTCGACAGTCTGATGGCAGCCCAAGCCGCTGATCCAAGTCGGGCTAGAATGGAACGGAGGGAAAAAGGGAGAACACATTTCACAAGGACCCAAGAGGACGCGCCGCCCCTCCTCAGAGTCCCCCACCCCCACCCCTTCAGCTCCGAGTGGGGCTGGGGGCGCGGACAGACAGGCGCTGGGAGCGCAGTCCGTCCCGGTCTGCAGCTGCACACAAAGCCCTTCACCTTCTCCTCGCCTTCCAAGCTCCTCCCTGGGCTTCGTTGTTCCGAGGGTCTCGGATGCCCCCTTCGGTGGTCGGCGGGACGGTCCGACTCCCTCCCGTAGCGCTGCCCCCTCCCTCGCATCTCAGCCTCCTCCTCCCCGCCCCTCGCCACTGACCCCCGCGGGAGCTCATCCCGGGCTTGGGGGGCATGAGAGCACCCCCTGCGCCCCGAGGGAGCCGACAGGGGTCCAGTCTCCGAGGCACAACTTCAGCCAGCTGGTCCGCCACCCACTCCGGGAGCACACCCATCCCCACAGCTGTCGCATCGGGTGCAGATCAGCCCCAGCTCCTGACGACGGGGGAGCCCAGGCACAGGCACGCTCCTACCTGCGCGGCAGCGGGGCAGCCAGAAGCGAGGGCGCGGAGCGCCGGGCCCGAGCCCCGCGGCGCGGCTGCCCTTGTGCTGCGGCGGTGGCAGCTGCAGCGGCCGCTGGCTCGCCTGCACACTGGCCGGCTGCCCGGCTGACTCCTCGCCGGGGCTTCCTGTGGGGCTGGACAAAGGACGTTTCCTGGGAGGAGCAGGGGAACGCTCCCAGCATGCCTCGATTTGTAGTTCCCGGGGACTTCCTGCCACCACCGCAGCTGGTACCAGAAAGGGACACCCGGACTGGGGGAGCGGGGGGCCCCCCGCGTCCCTAAGCGCTCCGGGGAAGTGAACAGCGGGGAAGTGGCACCCTGGGCCCTGCCCCGCTGCTCTGGGGGCGCGGTCGCCCGGCAGGCGCTCGCGCTCTGCCCACAGGCGGCGGTCCCCTCCTTGGGGGCCTGCCGCTGAGCTGTCGCTTGGTGCGGGAAGACACTGCGGTGGAAAGGCCTTTTTTTTTTTTTAAAGAAAGGAGAAGTTTGGGATGGGTTCACTTTGGGTTGACGTGTTTTTAAAATAGATTTTCTTTTTCTTGTTCCTTTTTTTTTTTTTTTTTTTAACTGCCGGAATCCTGCCGGGGGCGGATTAAAGAACATGACCGCTCACGAGGAATTCAGGTTCCTTAAGATCTTGGCACTTTATCCTTAAAACCATAAGGGCTGATTGTTTCCAGATCCTGACCTGGCGACATTCCTCCCTCCGATGTTGGCCCTGTCCCAGGCATCTTTTCAAGAAAAGTAATTAAATTAAGAGGTCGGAAACAAACTGCATGAGTTAACAATAAGACGCGTTTTAAAAGCACACATACAGAAACAAAAACCTGTGCTGCTGAATTGGGAATGTGCTGGGCTTGCTGCTTCTCTCGCCCTTACTCACCTTCAGGACTCGGTTCCCTGGATGCTAACGCACAAACGCGGTAAGCGCCACCGTAAGCGCTTCAGCCTGGTGCGCGGGGGAGGGGATGTTAGGGAAGGAAGACATTGGCTGCAAGAGAGGAGCTCCACCTCCAGCCTATCAAGAGTCTATAACATCCTCCACAAATTCCTGTCTAATTATGGAACTACATACCCAGGCCCCTCGTGGGAAAAATCAAGGGAGGACCACATGGAGACTAAATGACTGGAAGCTGTGCTCTCACAAGGAGCTGCGAGAGGAGGTTCTAGAATCCTCTAAAACGCGTCTGTAGAGATAGGAGGTCGTACTTACTCGCCACACCCACTTGGCCTCTCCCGTTTCAAGTGCACACAAATTGGAACACTGGGGTGAGGGATTTAGTTACATTTAAAAAAAGTATATCCACTTTTCTGCCGTAGTTCCCGTTCTCCGGAGATCCTTAATTAACCACAGGGAGGAAATGGGGTAGGTTCATTTAGGGCGCAGAACCGAGGAGAAGCATGTCTTAGATGTGAGCACCTACCTCCCCGGAGTTCCTGTCGCCTGTCACCGTTGGCTGCTTACCTGGGTTCGTTATGCTGTGATCCCTGCGTTTTCCCTCCTAACTACTGCTCCTTAAAGGTTTGCAGCCTGGCAGCATTCTAGTAAAACTGCCCTTCACCTCTTAAAAAATTAAAACTAAAAATAAAAAAGAATTGATCATCCTTGGCAAATCCAGCAACCTCCTCTAGTGTTCAGTTTGAAAAGATGATACACTTGCGGGCAGCGTTCACCATTGTCTACATGCCCTTGCTGAAGGGATTGTTTGTCTTGCTTCCAGCACAGTCCCCTGTCCAACTGGAATTTCCAACTTCATCTCAAGATACCAAACCAGTCCCTTCCCTGTCGTCTCCAATCCAGGACAATTAGTTGCATCAACAACTATTTATTTCCCACTTACTCCATGCTAGTCACACCTGGGGTAGATACATGATAACACTCGACAGTAAGATTTTCAGGAGGAGCTATGAGCCATGTGTTGCTCTCCAGAAGTTCACATTCCACTCGGCATCACACAATCACCACGTAGTGTTTTAAGTGCTGTGACAAAGGCACATGCAGAGGCTTGTGCTCCCAGAAAGTGATGCTCTGTCCATTAACTCTCTCGTCCCAATGACAGCAGGAGGGGTACAGGAGTGGCCAGAGCAGGGGCCCAGAGGTGAGAAAATGCACCTCTTACATAGGGGACTTAGTGTAACGTTTGGTTGTGAAGGGGTGGTAGCTGGGAAGGAAGGAAGGTAGCTCTGAGGACGGGTGTTGCGTGTGGTTCTTACTTGCTTGGTTTTTACAATGAGAGCTCCTTCCTTGGGTATGTTTAAAAGCCCGTGGGAAAGGTCTGGGAGAGTGGCAGAAGGTGAAGACAGAGGAGAAGGAAAGGATTAGAGAGCAGGCACTCAACAAATACTTGCTGAACTAACTAATTCCTGCTACGCATCAGTGTCGAAGATGTTGAGATTGGGGTTAACAAGCTGCACATTCCCAGCTGAGACCAGACAGAAATGAATTCCTTTCTTCCTCCTCACGCACCCTCCCCGCCCTTCATGTCCTGGGGGAAGGTAATAGAAAAATATTCAAGAGGAAGCAGGAATGCGTCCCCCGAGGTCGGAGGATAGAGCCTTTTCCAATGGGTTCCAAAGGTGTACAGCAACTTCAGGAAAGTCTCAAGTTGGGAGCCTGTGGGTCTGGGTTGTATTTCATTTTGAAATCAAGCAAATATTTTACCCTTTTCTTTTTCTTCATTTCAAGGTAAAATAGATAAGATATTCTCATCCTCGCCTTTTCAAAGGGGAATTGACAGTTGAAAAAATAAGAACAATAAAGTCAATTTTATATACACTTAGATATATTCCAGGATTTAAAAAATATGTTCTATTAATAGTCCTATATTTATGGAGTATTGCTTTAATGATTATAGTATTATACTCAATGTTTGGAAGAATAATCTCCTGTAACTAAGCTTTTACTTCCATTTTCTCATCTACTTTCTCACATTCAAAAACTATTCTAATGTAAAATTTGTTTTACTAAAAATGAATATGAAACTATATACAAAATACTTTGAGGGACAAAGGAAAACAGAAGGGGAACTGACTGGGGCAGATTTGCCTACATTGTTTAAGCTCGTAAGTACAAGGGGGACATCTGTTGTTTTTCTCACCTTAACAGGCATCCATCTCCCATTTTTTGGTAACAATGTCTTTGGGGAAACAACCTCTTTCCCACCACAATGTCTTCCCATCACAATGTCTTTGTGACTTAGGGGGGCGGGGGCGAGCCTGTCTCTACCTCCATTTCAGTGGTGGGCACGTGATCAACACCTGTCAGTGAAGCTATGCCGTTGTGGTACAAAGGATACGCTACTTAGAGGAAAGAGAGATGAGAAAAAGTGTGTGTGTGTGTGAGAGAGAGAGAGAGAGAGAAAACATATGCACAAGCAAACCCTTATGATACTGTTGGATCATGCCTGAAGCCAAACACCACCAGACTTTTAGTTGCTTGAGCCAAAAACATTCCCTTTGGGCTGAAGCTATTTCGAATTCTATCTCCTGCTTCCCAGAGTGTTCCCCGTGCTGGCACGGGGTGTTGCCGTGCACGTCCCTCACTGCGCAGTTCCTACGGTAAGGGAGGGTGAGAAGGAACGGAGTCTCAGACCCCAGCGTTTCCATTTCCAGAGTGGCATTTGAGAAATCTTGATTGGTGAATGTCGGGATTTCAGAAGGTTTGGGCTACGTGTAGTTTTCATGAATGTTCTCCAGAAAGAGACCTGCTGATGTGGGAACAGGCCTGTGCAGAAGAGAGGAGTAAGAAATGGCATCCCGGGTCTGAAGTATTTCCCCCCCGAATTCCTCAGACAAATCCAAACGGTCCGGAGTCGGGTGTACTGCGCCATGCCAGGTTGGAAAAATGAACTTCTCTGCCTTTTGCAGAGTGACAGCGAAGGCTCATGGGTGGAAAACGGACACTGGAAAGACCAGGGTCGCACCGAACTCCTCCTGCTGTGCCTTCCCTGCCAGAGGGAGGGAAGAATTAACCCCGTTTTAAGTAGGGTAGACACATAATTTATCATCCAACATGGGACAATTTTGAGGGACTAGGGGTGTTGTTAATAATTGCACCTGATGGATGGCTCTAAAACAGGTCACCCTAATTGAAAGAGCTATTCACCAGGACACAGCTGTGCCTGGAGAGGCCGACCCATTAGCCCTCCTCACCCCCAGATGATTGTTTCTCGGGTCCCAAGTGGAGGTCAAGATGGCCACCCTCAGGCCTTTCCTGACAAGGCAGAAACCCCCCTGGCCAGGCTTCTGGAGCGGAAATGAACTTCACACATCTGAACTGCACTAGCAAGTGGATGAGCACCTAAGGTCAGTTCCCAGAGGGCGACCCTTCCCAATTCCCAATGCAGTTGTGGTCCTGCAGGAAAATAGGCAACAGGAATAGTCATCATGTGAGTTAAAGTGGAAGGAAATAGCTAAACTGGCCACAGAACTCAGTTCCCCAAGGAGCAGGTAATTCTTGCCATTTCTGATTAGCAGAACTGAACACATCCCATGGGACAGTCCCCCTGCTTATCATTGCCCCTTTCCTTTGCTGTCAGGCGGGAGTTACCCTTGCTTCCCTCTGCAGTCTTCCAACTGCCTGTGTGGGGAGCAGTGGAACTTGTAGTTCAGTCATCCACGGTCAGAAAGGGGGAGGGAGCATCATTTCACGTCCTGGCCTAGGAGCTAGACACAAAGTACGGCTCCTTCTCTTTGGGGTTTGGGTGAACACACTTTCACCCGTGTGTAGAATAATTGCATGCTTTTAAGGGGGGACATTTTTAAAACGGTGTATGGAAGTGGGTGAATTGCAGCTCAGGGCTGTTCTTTATTTAATGGCTCAGCACGTATTCCCACTTCTTGGAACAAAACCTAACTCAGCTTCTGAGCAACCCTCCCCAACCTCGGTCTTGTCTGGAAGAGGCTGCCACCCTCCCCTCCTCCCGCCTCCCTCCTCCTCCAGCTCCAGGACTAGGTCTGTAACCCTGGCCTCCCAGAGTCAGCGCTGCCATGAGGGTGCCTGGACCTCGAGTCTGTTCCTTGGAGGGCACACTACACAGAAGCTGAGGCCAGAGAAGCTCACTTTCTTTGTTGCACTTGTTCTTTGGAAAGACAACGTACATCTGAAGAG